TCCTGTCCCACTATCATGCTGAGTCCCCACCAGGATTTCAGCACTTCCTCTTTGTTACATTCCCCTTGATCATGCCCTACCAGGTCTCCCACACCCACCTTGGATCACTTGTTTGTTTGTTTTTTAAGGTACGATTTCTACTTCCTGCTCAGGACAGACAAAAGATATTTCTGACCACACCATTCCTGCTTTAGAGCTCTCACATGCAGCTGTTTTATAATCAGAGTGTGATCATTTAGGAAATAAGGTTAAGAAAATCACAGACAAATTTCTGGTAGCTGCTTATGACAGGTAAAAGGAGGGGGGGAAAGTTTTTCTGCTTATTTCCAGGGGAAATATTTAAATTTTTCAAATACAGTAACTTACGATGTTTCAAACATTTGGGCTCAAAACCAGGACCTCTTGGGTTTTCATCAGTGGTGTGGACATTAATAAAAAGTGCTAAGAAGGTGAACTTTTGAAGATTAGTCTATAAATCATGCATGTATCACAAACACCTTAGAATCCTGTGCTGACTTAGGAGTTACAAACACATGTAGCTGTTTTCTTTAGCTATGTGAGGAGGCTTTGTCACGCTGTCTCTTGGGAAAGGTAAAACACATGACACACTTTGCAAGTGGAAACCCTGTCATTTTAACTTGAATGTAGGAACAAGGATGACAAGTTCCCAAAAGGAACCAAACGAAAGAAAGAAAAAGAAAAATCTCAAAAACAAAACTCTGCAGAGGAAATGATAATAGTATCTTAAACTGTGTGTATGTAGTACTTCCCATTATGTAATGAAAAAAGAATAGCGCATCAAGGCATGCAAACCCATGAGAAATTCAAACATAACTTTCATCTCTAGCAAAACAGCCAAGTCTATAAAGAAAGAAACTGCATCGCCAGACATTTACAAAGTTCCAAATGGCTAGAATTTCTTGCAAAAGAAAACGTACCACCTGCTTCAGGATGTGGGTAAGACAAGTGTGTTCCTGTGGTAAACATTTCCCAAACAAGAAAAAAGTTAGAAAGACAAATCTTTGCCAAGTTGCAGCCTACCAGTTCCCCTGATTTATGTGAACAACGAAAATAGAAGAGATGGAGTGGTTTAAGAAAGAACTTGAAATAAATAGTTTCGTGAATCAGTAAAATCGCCAAATAAAATAAAATTTCATTTACAGTGGAAAGGAGTCCCGTTATGTAGTTTGATCTTGTCATCACGTTTTGTTGCAGGGCAATGCACATTGGACAGACCTGCTGGATCTACAGTCCTACATTGGAAAGGTGTATAGATAGTCCTCAAGGTTTCTGTTAATCCTTCCAAATGCATTCTATTCATTTGAATTTTATTTCATAGCATAAAAAGAATAAAGAGCACAGTGAACAGAGCTATAGAATAAAATTCAAATGGACAGTATCCATGCTATTCATTCATATTCTCAATTAGCATTTATTATTTACTAAATATCAGAAAATGAGAGAGTCAAATCATCACCTCTCTTCTCATCTTTTTTCATCTTCATGCTAAACTAAGCACTCTTCTTGATTTTAGGGAACTGTCCCTAATGATTCAGTTTCGTTTTTTCATTCCAGTCTGGCAATCTACCCAGAATTTCAATAGCTATTGCTTTCAAATCTATTCTCCTAAAGAGAGATAAAATGGAGTGTGGGGGAAGGATGTAGTGGGGACACCGTGTCGTACTGATTACTGGCATGCATGCACTAACAGTGTTTACTGCTATGCATGCACTAGGAGCGTTTTACGGAAAGTATTTTCAGTTCCATAGCAACAGCATGGAGTTGTTATTATCCTCAGTTCATCAAATGGGAAAAGGAGTCCCCGACCACTGAGCGTCTTGGTCACCTGAGTCACATAAGCAGTAGGTGACAATGCCAGCCCTAGGAACCCAAGAAGCACAGCCGTCACCCAATATCTTTTTGAAATCTTTGAATATTATTTTAGTTTATGCTACTCATAAGGCCTGGGCCTCCAGTTCTTCCATTTTCCCTGTAAAATAACATACTATTTAGATTCATTACTGAAAAAAATACCATTTATCAACGGTTTCTGAACAGAAAGGTAGATGTGTATGGAGAAAAAGATATAAATGAGTAACTTAAAGAATTTATAAATTCTGAAGTCCATCTGCCCAGATGATGTGTTCAGCTTAAAGTTTTTAGGCCACTCTTCTAGTATCACTGGAATAATAGATAATATATCACAATCTGGGCATTTAAGAATTAGCACGGTAGGAGAAAGAGAGCCAAGGGAAAATGGAAACATGAATCCATTTTTATGAATGTGAATAAAATTAAATATCACAAATTAATGTTGGAGGGAAATAATTTATTCTGTTGCACTCCCTCTAATCATATCTCATACTTCTGTACCTTATATTCTTCATAGTCCTGGCCATCTAGCACGTCCTGTTTCTCCAGTTCCACATCTTGTTCCTTATAGGACGAAGCTGATATATCCTTCACTCTGGGTTGTTCATAAATGGGTTTTCCATGAAAAAAGAGTTCCTTCCAATCCTTCATCAATTTCTGTGGAATCAGACTATTACAAAAATAAAATAGAGAGCTAAGTAGAAAAAAAACAGAAACGAATACATAGCTAGATACACATATACTTACATGTGGATTTTTTTAGTGATTCACTTTTGTCAGAATTAAGTGGAAAATAATGAGGACTGCTGCCAAAGTTCATCAAAGGAGCAATGACAATAAGATCACCATGCATGAATCTCTCTGAAACATATAGTATGCAGACATGAAAACCATACTGGCACGTTAAAGGGGTCTTGGACAAAATTCGGTCCCTTCATTTGGACATGGGAGCAGTGAGAGCAAGCGTGAGGTTGTATAGCCACTTGATGCCAGAGCTGGGAATTTAAAAGCCGATGTTTTCCAAAAGTGCTCATTATTTTTATACGTAAGAATAGATTGTTCTACTAGCGTGCAGGAAATCAATAATTTTAAAGACAGCATGGGGCAATAAGGGCTATTCACTAATTCAAACCATCTAAGCTCTAGCCATTTCACTCTTTGCTAAGTGAGATCGCAGACAATGGGGTGGAAGGGTTATAAGACCATTACACCAGCAAAAACGTTCTGAGTGAGCATACTGGGGTACAATGAGAAATGATTACTGGACACCCCATTTTAAATGCAGTGTCCCAGTGAAGGGCCGTGACGCCACGGGTGCTGAGCTGAGGCCTCCACAATGTCAATGCCAGGAAAGTGGCTTCAACGGGGGCAAGATGTGCCAAGGAAGGAAGGAGAGAGCTATCGGGTACGGTTCAGACGTATTTTTCTAAAAAGAGCTGGAAAGTTGGAAGTACAGCTTAAAAAGTTGTATTTCAATGAAGTGTTCCATTTGATATGTGACCATATTGTGTTTTCTATTAATAAAGTATTCCTAGTAACTTAAGGTTGCTTTTAAAAGTCCAATTGCTCGCTGGTTAGGTGCTCAGTGGCTAATGAATTATCTGCTCAGCATGACAATCTAGTCCCAGGAGATTACAGATTTGGTCGCCCGATGGGGAAGTTGTGCTCTGTCCTAAAGGGCTACTGTGAGTCACAGGAGCCCTGGGAGCACAGTGATTCAACCGTTGGCTGCTAACGGAAAGGTCAGTAATTTGAGCGCAGCAGTCACTCCCTGGGAGAAAGATGTGGCTGTCTACTTCCATAAAGATTGTTGTTGTTTTAAGGTGCGGTCGAGTCGTTCTGACTCATAGCAACACAATGTGTACCAGAATAAAACGGAAGAATAAATAGTTTCCGTATACTTGGTACGTGCTGTCCAATCTGCTTGGGCTCTTAGCTACCCCGAGGGCCACAGGACACACTGCCTGGTCCTACTCCACCTTCTCAATTGTTGTTAGGTGTGAGTCCATTGTTGCAGTTTTGGTGTCTACCCACTGCATTGAGCTTCTTCCTCCTTTTTGCTGACCCTCCACTCTACCAAGCACATTGGTCAATTGCTCCTTGCAACATGTCCAAAGCCTCTCCATCCTGGCTGCTAAGAAGCATTCTGGCTGGACTTTTTCAACGACAGATTGGTTTATTCTTTTGGCAGTCTATGGTATTTCAATCTGCTTTGTCAACATCATAAGTCAAATGCATCAATTCTGGGGTCTGCTTTATGCATTGTCCAGACTTCACAAGCATATGCCAAAGTTTGGGTTAAGCATATCTTAGTCCACAGAGTGACATCTTTTTTCTTTAAATAGATCTTGTGCGGATTTTCTCAGGCAATACATTGTTTACCATGGCATTGTGTTCTGGTCCAGGTGTGAACATTTTCGTTATCTTTACACTGAGTAATAATCCATACTGAAGGCTACAGTCCTTCATCTTCACCAGTAAGTATGCATATCAGAGGCTGCTCATAAACTTTCCTCCAACTCTGATGGCATATTCTTCTTCCACTTTCTTGGCTTATTTGCTCAGCATACAGATGGAATAAGTATGGTAAAAGAATAAAACCTTGACACACACACACACACACACCTTTCTGGATTTTTGAACAATGCAGCATTCCCTTGTTCTGGAATTCACATGTTCTTCAATATTATCCATAGTTTGTTATGATCCACACAGTTGCATGCCTCTGCATTGTACACAAAACATGAAGAAATCTCTTTCTGCTCTTTGCTGCTCTCCGCCAAGGTCCATGTGATAGCAATAATATCCTTGGTTCCGTGTCCTCAGAATCCAGCTTGAATTCTAGCAGCACCCTGTGGATGTTCTGTAGCATCTGGTTTTTGAGTGGTCTTTAGCAAAATTTAGCAAATGGTTTTTAGCAAAATTTGCACATGAGATTAATTACATTAAATATGGATTTGTGTCCATATTTGGTTGGCCAGGTCACTGTCTTCTATATACTAGAATCTGTCTTATCTAGATTACTTCACCAAATCAGTTTTAATACTTGAGAATACATCTTCTGTAAGATTTTGCAACAAGAGATTTTGAAAAGAGTAAGTTTCAATTTTGTAAGATTCAAGTTCATCTCCCCTGCAGTTCAAGACTTAATGATCGTTCCCGTCTAAATGGCTGCGAAGATTTGGTCTTAAATGACCTTATATTTAGATACTTCTTTCCCTTTCTATTTCCATAAACTATCAGGGATATGCTTCTTTGTTAAATCTTCTAATATTCCCCTCCAATGATGATTCAATTCTGGAATTTATACAGGTTCTATGGCTTTTGATTAAAATGCATTAAAACAGACCAAACTGAGAATATTCCCATGACATTAAGGTTCCTCATGTTGCCCTTATACAGCCATATCCACTTCTTTCCCCCTCCCAGCTTTTCCTTAACCATTGACAGTCATCAATGTGTTCTCTATTTCTGAACTTTGGTAATTTCAAGACTGTCTTTAAATGGAATCATGTATTGACCCTGGCGGGGTGTCTTTTTTCACTAATCAATTTTGTGGGCATTTTTTAAAGATATGGTGTGCATCAATCATTTGTTGCTGTGAAATATTTCGTCATATGGATGTATATCACTGTTTGATACATGTGTCATGGTATCTCATCCTGGTTTTTAGCTGCCTTTCCCTAATGGCTCATGATACTGAACATGTCTCAAGTGCTCATTTGCCATCAGTATATCCTTTTTATTGAAATATATCCTTTTGATGTTTTCACAGTCTTTTTTTACTGTTCAGTTTTGATAATTCTTTATAGAAGAATAAGTAAAAACATATTGTTGTCAAATCATAGAAACCGATATTAAGCAAACATATCAAAATGTGAAGCTATTGGCTCCTCATAAATCCTTCAAGGAGGTCAGCATATTTCTGAAGGTGGTATTTCCATCTCTTGAACCCTTCCCTGAAGAATAACACACTGTTTGATTTCTACCAAACTAAAACAACAGATTTGGCATTTGAAGGGTTCTAGTTATGTCCCTCTTAAACATTCTTTGAATGTGGGGGACAAAAGTGAAGTGTGAAGAGGCAAGATCGGGGTGTAGGGTAGATAGGGAAAATTTCCAATCCAATTCTCCTGGGACAGCCTTGCTCCCCTTGAGACTGAGCACATGTATTAGTGGGATGGAGAACACCTTCTTTTCACAACTCCCCTTGCCTTTTCCTCTCCAGTGAAGTTTTCAGTGTTCTTAAACTTCTCCCCTTGTGAGCATCCCTGTGTGTGTGTGTGTGTGTGTGTGTGTGTGTGTGAAGGCAATGTCATGAGAGACTATGACAAGTAGGTCAGTGATTAAATGTGTCTGTAGCTCCCTGCTGACCACAGAGGCATGTTTAAAATCAGTTTGTTTAAAAGAACCCCATGGATGCATGGATGTCTGAATTGGGAGCCTAGCAGCACCTCTTTTTAAAAAATTTACCTCCATATAACCTAGTTACTACGTATCTGTTGGCTAAGTTTTTGTTGTTAGGAACCATTGAGTCGGTTCTGACCCATAGGGACCTTAGACACAGTAGGATGAAACACGGCCTCAGCCGGCACCATCCTCACAATTGCTCCTGTGCCTGAGTCCACCGTGGCCGCTATGGTGTCAGGCCATCTCCTTGAGGGCATTCTTGTACTTAGAGGCCCTTCCCCTTTACCAAACAAGATGTCCTTCTCCAGAAACTGACCTTTCCTGACTATGCCTTTTGAAGATATTTTCAATTTGTAGAGCATGGCTTTAATTTTGTGGAAATCCAACTTACCAGTTTAGTCTTTTATAGAAAAAAATTAATTTGATGAAAAGTTAAATTATTTTTTTCTCTTAGTAGATTATGATTTTGATGTTGAGTCTAATAAAACCGTTGCTAGATTTTGTAGCTCTCAAAGGATTCTTCTGTTTTATTCTAGAAGCTTCAGAGCTTTACATTTTTTAAAAATCATTTTATTGGGGCTCATACAATTCATCACAATACATAGATTAATTGTGTAAAGCACACCTATACATTTGTTGCCCTCATCATTCCCAAAATTCACTTTCCTCTTGGGTTCCTGGAATCAGCTCATTTTCTTTCCCCC